GCCTCATTTAAAAATTTCAAACGGTACATGTGTCCATAAAGAATATATATTTATGATTGGACATTGTAGCAAAAATATTTTGCATAATTATACTGACAAAAATCATGCCAAATTTATTAGATTATATATTTTAATTCTGCAATAGCCAACGTTCTTGAAATTACAATTTTTTGAATTCTCATAAAAGCATCTTTACATTATTGTGATTTATGTTATGAAATCAATCAAAACTAGCCATTTTTGAGGAAACGTCGATTTAAGGTAAAAAATCTGTTCACATACTCACATACACACTAGATAATTTAACAATTTTGATTTTTGATTTTTTTTTATACAACTAGAAGAAATTAATTGTGTTCCGTATGCAGTTTATTGAATTCTCTATAGCCTATGCGTATTAGAAGAAAACCCAGTGGTTGCCTATTCCCTTTGTTAGAAATCCTATTTGGATCTAAATTTTTGAGCGATAACTGATATCAGGCGGACACACACACATACTGCTTGATATCAGCTGGACACACACACACACACACACACTTTCTCTCCAATTGTTGGTATCATTCCATTCAGAATGGCTTGAAACGTCGAGAAAACAAAATCAGCGAATCAGATTTTTTTATGAAAACAAGATTTTTTTATAAAAACAAACGTTTCTTCGGGAAGTTTGTAATACGATTTTGTAAGCTAATGAAAGTATCTCTTAGATTACTTTTATTTAGTTTTAACAAATAATTCACAACATTATAAATAAGAATACATTTAATTTTTAAATGCGCATGATTAGCTCTTTAAATAATTGTTTTTTTTTTTTTCAAAAAAGATGTAGAAACCATGAGAAATAATATGAAATTATTTCTATTAAAATTTTGATATTTTGAAATTGAATGAAGTGATATTCGAAAATCATAAAAAGTATTAATCAAATATGATAGTTGATTAACGAAATAAATTGAAACCTTCTTATATCTCAAATATCGATCAATTTATTCGATTTAAAAAAATATTTGAAACTTAATACGTTATTGCCAAGATAAGATCAATAGGCTAACTATAATATAAATAAGTATCTAATTTTTAAATACATAGGCTTCATTTTGACTATCAACTCTCTCACTATATATTTCCTTAACACATGCACTGCTAACCTTGCACTTTTTCTTATACTTTTCCTCGTGCTATTTTTTTATTTGTTTGATTTAAAATAATAAAATTTCTCGACATGTTAACTGATATTATATTAAAATTTTTAAAAAATCCAAAATAGAATTAATTAGAATATTTCTGTTTGAATTTAAACATTTTCATTGAACTAAAACATTACTCCAAAATGCAAGGAACTTTGAAGAAAATATAATATTGAACCTAAAATTTAATTACTTTTATTTGAAACATATGCAATAAAAAATTAAATTTTTGCATATCTTCACGTTTCAGAGGTTTCTGAACATTTTGGCATACTTTAGAAAAATGGATGTGTGTATGGTCCTGGTATATCATATATAAATAAAAAAATTTATTGAAGAAATTGATTATTTACACTTATCGTGAAGTTAATGACACTTGGCACAACGCAAAATGCCACTTACAACTAGTTTTATTTGATTTTGCCTCATTTTTTATTTGTTTCGTTCAATATTAAATATTTTACATTTGTTTGATTTTCCATTCTAACAAAGTTTTTTTTTTTTTTTATTAATATAATCGTAATATATTACACATAAAAGAAATTTAATTAATTGACTACGGTTACGTTTATCGGTTACGTTAAAAAATGATAGGTTTTCGCTCGACTGAAACAATAGGAAACAATAGTTACTGATTTCATACCTCACATTAGAAAGAAATACTATATAGTTAATTAAAATGTGTTTAGAATATTCCATTACCTAAAAGATAGATAAAAGCCCCCTGGGAATGAAAAACAAACTTGTGCGCAACACAAAGTACAGTTATCTACTACTACTGTGTATTGTGTGAAATAAATTTTTACCACAAATCAAAACATTGTTACGCAAGAACCACAAATCGAACTAGTAGTCGTGCCTTAAGGCAAATTTCTGGACATTCCCGTACTAAAAATTAATGTTATAAAAAGGATTCAAATTTCTTTTAAACTTTGAAAAAATTAAATTTATGAGATAAATTTATGGAATGACTTTTTTGAAAAAAAAACTGAAAACATCTTTTCGTTTGTTTTGAAATATTTTGGAAATTTTCTGCAAAGAGACGAAATATCAAAGCGCGTAAGCGCCGCGTCGTCGTCTAACGGACAAACGATGTTACGAAACCCCGAGAAATGTAAACAGAATTTATACGCATTGTTAAAATCTCCATAAAATATGTGATAATTTGATGTGCATATGTCTAACGATCATTTTTGAACGCCAAATAGCATTTTTTTACTTTTTTTTTTACTTAATCTCCGAAACCGCTAGACCTGCCTTCCCAAAAATTTAATCAGTTCATTTTGTCAATACAAGTAAAATGTTTTTTGAATAATTAAAATCAGATACCCCGTTCTTTTAATAACGGAGTTACCATTTTGGCACTTTTTGTCCCATATCTTCGAAACGGTTAAACCTGCCTTTGCCAAAAACTAATCAGCATGTCTTCTGATCAATACAAATCGAAAGCTTTTAAATATTTAAATCGGTTGATCGGTGTTCCCGAAATCGTGGACAAAAATTTGTATCCGCACACACTCTCACACACACATTAATTTTTTCTAAGGTATGCCAAAATGTTCAGAAACCACTAAACGTAAAGGTATATACAAATTTTCATTTTCGATTTTTTGCGATTACTGTAACTTACCCTACGCAAAGTTAAAAATTTAGCTTCAGCTAATTAGTTCAACTATTATTCCAAAAATAAAGTTTTCGCTCTCACTAAAAATTTATCACTGCTATTTTCTATTGCAGTGTTTCAAACATGCATATATGTATGTGTAATTACATATATTACACTAATTTGTTTAACATAATTCATTTCATTCAATTCGAGTTCTAGAAAAATATTTTAAGTTGGACGTAAACTGTAATCAGTAGCGAAATACAAAAAAAAACGCGCGCTTGAACACGCGCGTCAATTCTAAATTTTCATTTTTTGACCATTTGTCGTAGGCCTATAATGTTTTATTATGTTGTTTCATGTGTAACGTCATATAAAGTTTCATCAGAATAGTTTTTACCGGAATTTAATTACGAAAAAACGGCCCAGCCGATCTTTACCAAAACTAATCAACGCGATTCCCAACCAATATCTTTGGAATAGTTTTTGAATCTTTAAAATAGGTTCAAAATTGTGGGCTAAAACGTCGACAAAATTTATGAAAAGTGATTGAATTATAAAAAAAGTCAATGTTTGAAAAAGTCAATGATAATAGAAGAACAGAAATTATGAAATCACGTCGCAATAAATATCGTTAAATATTACAGGCTTAAGAAAAGTGGTAGAACTATAAAAAAATCACTAAAGTTTGGAAAAATATACCCGTATAAATAGACGGAATAACGAATCGAAATAATGAAATGATTGAAATCATTTCTGAACACTTCTAATTAAATATTTTAGGCATATAAAAAGTAGTAAAACAATCAAAGTTTAAGTATGGCAGTGGAAATAGATACAATAACAAATATAATAAAAGAAATTAATAAAATCGCATCTTAAGTATTGTTAATATTATAGGCCTATGAAAACTGGTTGAATTATAAAAACACCATCAAATTTGGATAAATATAATATATAAATATATAAAATAACGAATCGAATAAAAGAGGTTATTGAAATCACTTAACACATACCGTTACGTATTGTAGGCCTATGAAAAATGGTTAAATTATAAAAAAAAATCATCAATGTTTGAAGAAGTGTGACTGTGGACATAGATAGAATAACAAGTAGTATTAAAGATATCATGCAAAATGAAAATAAATAGCAACAGATAAAGAATTACGCGTATATTTGATTTT